CCCTTACTGTTTTGTTCTGTTCAGCGAGGCGTCAAGGAAACTCGGGATTATTGTAACCATGCGTCTCCTACCCACAGCTAAGGCTGGCCTCCTTTTGTGTTTGGCATTTTTGCAAATTGGAAAGACTCGTCGCTTCATTGCGTATCGCAGCCGATACATTCGCTGTACATCATGTTCGCCATGCGTTGCATGGTACTTGGGCGTCTCTGGTAGGCCAGCGTTCGTCTCAGAGTGGTCGTTCAGACGGACTACACCCCAGTCCGGCTCTCATTAAATTAAATAATACCAGAATGTCACATCTGACACCGTATGTTCGACGTTGAGCGCTGTGTTGAGCCATTGCGGGTTGAGATCAGCGAGGCGAGCGAAGGCGATGGGACGCGCCGCTCGCTTACGTGCAGTTCAATACGATGTGCTAACGTAGAATGTTTCCTGTCTTGCGCACTGTGTGCAACATGAAGACAGGAGCAGTAAATGCTAATGTCATGCTTAATATACAGGTCTACGCCTGATTGGTGTATCTACACGCAACGTTGACCGCGAATGACTAACTACGTCAACCAGTAAGCCTGCTACGACGAGCTAGGAAGCTAACCAAGAAAGCAGTTTTTATCAGTTCCTGCAGTTCATTACCTGTACACCCCATTTCCCCCAAACGAGGTATCCAGCAACAAGCAACCGATACCATCATCCTCAAACAGGAAGACCTACGTCAAGATGGAGCTGGCCTAAGGAGAGCATCCGTATCCAGATCGCTGCTATGAGTAAGTTGTGCGACGCGAAACAGATTACCTTGACAACTTTAGAAGGTTACACCACTTCGGTCCTTGAAGGTGCACAATATTCTCAGCTTCCAGCTACCACGAACAAGGTAATCGTCAGATAATGTCGTATTGCTAACGCATGCTGCTGCACTGTGAGAAGAACCATGAAGATCCCGACTTGAACCTGAAGACAGCACTCAGGTATAAAACCTCATCTTTCTCCCCTCCAAAACCAAGCATCAATCTACCCAGCCTCAACACAACCACACTTCACACCAGCGCCAACAAGCAGAATGCAGTTCCTCTACGCCCTTCTTCCCCTCCTTCCCCTCGCAGCCGCCAATGGCCGAATTCGCTTCAACTCCTTCGACCACCCCGGCTGCCAAGGTTTCGAAGAGAACTACGACCTCAACCCCGCTGTGGTGAAGGGAAACTTCCCAGGTAAGCTCCGAACATCGCTGACGACGTGATATCATGCTCTAACAATGTGCAAAGGACCCCGCGGGTCCATCCAGATGTTGGTCACGTCTCCTGGATGCCATCTTACGCTTTACACCGGCCCCAATCAGTCCCAGACCAACGGCGGCAATCTTAGGATCGACACTGGCGTGGCGGCTTGCTTCTCGAACCCCAATGGATTTGAGGATTATCTCAGCTTCGGCTACTACTGCGATTAGATGATGGTGGGACGGAGAGATCAGGAGACCGCTGAGTGGACGCTGCCCGATTGCTGAGCCGCTCTTTTCTTAGTAGATCGGGCCGTGGAAAAGGAAGAGTAAAGAGTAGTGGAAGTTGAGAGTGAGACAATGAAATTCTGTCAGCAGTTGAACTGATTTGCTTTTGACTTGAGAACCCATGTTGACTGTTCAAAAGTACTCCCCCGTGGCCTGATCAAACTGGGCTGCGAGTGTACCTAGGCCTCTCTAGTGGGCCGGTGTTGTGGCTGAAATGTCGAGGGGCTACTAGACACTGCTCTATGGTTCTCGTTGATATGTAAGAATGTAACATGTTACGAAGGGTCTTGGGTGCCTATGTCCTCTGCGCGGGTTCGTTCATGCGCTCATGCTTCCCCACATGGTTTTCGCAAACTCCTGATCAATGCTGATGAAAGTGAGTCGCAAGCATACCTAGTTATTGCTCGAATGTAATTCGCTGCTATAGTTTGTGAGAACCCTGGGCGAACGACGTGCTGAGGAGACCATGCAGCATGATGGCGGTAGAGTTCTATACGTGAACGCTACCTAGGTATACAAAGAAACTGTTTCAACAGAATACGGAGCGTCCAGGGGCAGATGGAGGAGACAAGATGCCCAGGTGTGGATGATTTGTCGAGACCGTGGACTATACACCACCTGGGCACGTAGCTGCGGTGGAGGTTGTGCAGTTCAGAAACGATGAGTGCCAATGTAATTTCGTATTTCGTACTCGCGCGTAAGCGTATCGGCACCGGCAAGACGCGAGACTCCGTACCCACTACGGGAGATTATCTTGATCGAAATCGAAGATTATGCGCATCTGCCAAAGCGGCTTAGTGCCGGTACTGGGCGGAAGCTAAGCCTATGGACGACAGTCGCGTGTTCATGTGAGACCGACCACGATATTCCGCAACCAACAGGACTCCGGCGCGCGAAGGCGTCAATCCTCGCCCATGATGCGCGCATTACAACTTGGACGAAGTTTTGCTGGTCGACGCATTCTTAACCTCCGCGGGCGCGATAAGTATCTGGGACCGAGCATTGCTGTCAAAACTCTGAAATGTCAATGACGCAACTGGTAGCAAATGATGTGCGAGCACGCGACACTAAGCAAGCAGTCACATCGGAAGGCCGGCTCCTTCTGCACCCAGCTGGGCCACGCCGCACCAAATGCCATGGCAGCGCAGCTTCGTCCGAACGTCCGCTGCCCTGTCCGTGGCTGCTGTGGCTGTTTAGTCACTCTACGCATGCCGTGCGTTCCGCTGACTTCACTACGCGCCATGCGCCCTGCCTTTAGTGTAGGATGTAGTCCTCGGCATCGGCCAGTCTTCTTGCCTGTTCCTTGATGCGAAGACTTCTGGGCTTGTCATAGCTAACATTTTTGTTCTTGGAACACCCACGAGTTCCTCACTTCTACCCTTCAAGTCAGAGTAGAAGGTACGATACAGCGCTGCGTCAGGACCTCCGCGCATAGATTCCCGGATCGACCGGCTAGCCAAACACTACCGCCATCCCTACAAATATACTCAGTTCCTCTGGGTTATCGTATTGGAGTTGAACCCCCGGGAAGCATACTTTTGCTTAAACATCGCGCGACCGCCCATACCACCTATACATCGCCGCCTCGCGCGTAGTCCCCCACCATGGGCGCAGGAGCCTTCATAGAACCACTCGTGGTTGTCACCCTGCTCTTCGGAGGTACATGGGTAAACCGAAACACCGAATACCGCCTTATTGGTCGGCGGAGAGTATACCAAAACTCGCCGCGGTCAAGTTCCCCAGATTCCGGTCGATCTAGTCCGTCGTCGAGCGCGTCGCTTCTCGCCAATGTCGACGAGGAACCCAAATGGAGGAAACGAGAGGTGGTAGTCCTGGGTATGAAGAAGGAGGTCATGAGCCCGAATACCAAGAGGTTCCAGGATTACTTCCTCAGTCGCTTGCTGAAGAAGTTTCCCTTCCTTGTGGAGGCCTGGTATTGGGCGCTTATCTACTGGGTAAGTCACTTCGCGAGTACTGTACATCTTCTCTGCAGAGATGCTGACTTTCTTCAGGTGTACCAACTAGGTCGCGCATTCTCCGCAGTAACCATGGTCGAAGGCACCGTTAACGTCGCTCGCCGCCACGCCCTCCAAATCATCCACCTCGAACAGAAACTACACATCTTCCTTGAACTCGACGTTCAAGCGTGGTTCCTGAAGCACCCCTTCCTCCTCCACTGGACGAACCGCACATACTCCTTCATCCACATTCCAGGCACGATCCTGTTCCTGGTATGGCTTTTCTACTACACTACAACGCGCAACCGAATCGATCTTCCCCTCCACAACAAGCCAATGGGCGAAGCGGATGGCAGCCCGGCAGGCCCAATGCTGTACGCTGCCAGGCGCAGAACGATGGCTACATGTAACTTGATCGCGTTCATTGTTTTCACGCTGTGGCCATGCATGCCGCCGCGTCTGCTCTCCGACCCCGAGGTTCCCGGCTCCGTAGGCAAGGAGGCGCGTAGCTTCGGTTTCGTCGATACTGTTCACGGCGCGGAGGGCGAAAGCAGCGTGTGGACGCAAAACAAATTCTGCAACCAATACGCTGCCATGCCTTCCCTGCATTTCGGGTACTCGCTCCTCATCGGCCTCACCATCATGTCGATTCCTCTTGCTCCTCAGCACAACCGATCCCGCACCGTTGCTCTCACCATGGGCCTGCGTATGCGTCTCCCGTCGGCCCGCCGTATGCTCTGCATCTTCTTGGGTGTCGCATACCCTGCTATCATTCTGGTCGCCATTGTTGCTACCGCGAATCACTTCATCCTCGATGCCGTGGCGGGTGCCATGGTCTGTGGACTTGCATGGACTGGCAACAGGGTGCTCTTGAATCTGCTACCACTAGAAGACTACTTCCTATGGTGCGTGCGCATTCACAAGCCTGCGCGCAAGGCTGTCCACTGGGACGGGGACGAGGATGAGAGTGACTACGGCCATAAAAGGTTTGGCGCCAAGGGCGTCATCGTCGATTAAAGGCTGTGGACTGAGAGTGTGGAGGTAATGCATCAGTAATGTCAAGCATTGGGTATTGGCGTCTGAACCGGGTCGGTCACTTGGGTAATGAGGCGGCATGTTCACTTATGACTCTCTCCATTTTTCGGGTAAACACGATAGTTTGATACCCTTGGCTAATAACTATGTTGTAATTCGATACTTGTTTGTTGGAAACCTGTGTCATGAACGAAGCGTGCTTCCTCATGTCATTGATTATTTTTGGTCCCCTTCGTCCCCTTCGTACTACCATCACACGTGACGAAGTGCTCTAGCAAACTTCTGCCGCGACCCTTCTTGCAACCTCCAGAACCCAGCTGTCATGCTCTCTGCCCGGTTCGAAAGAATGATAAACTCAGGCCGCCCCCTCAGGAGGAGTGATGGGATGGCCCGTGAGCTTACTTCTCCACCCCATGATGAACGAGCAATTCATAATCTTTTTCTACAATCACCTCACAATTAGCAAAACCGACTTCTAAGACGCGGCACATCCAAGAAAAAGGAACCACTTACCCTAGTCTTCTCTCCGCCCCCATTACAATCAAGCTTCGGTGCACTCCACAAACCCGTCCTACACTCGCCACAACGCTTCCACGACTCGCTGTCGTTCCAATCGCAGTGGAAATCATCGCCGTTGTCGTACGTGAAGTGTAGGATACTATTTTTGTAATCGAACGGTTCGATCAGGAACGTAAAAGGGTATCCCCCGATGCCGTGGTCAACCTGGACAGTACGGCCCTTGGCTAGAGTGTAGGCCCACACGTAATCCATATTCTTGTATACACCGCGGGCCTGGATGGTGTTGTCCGGGAGGCAGTTCTCAATGACCTGGAAGTAGAAGGGGAGGATGACGATGGGTTCGGGGTCGCCGGGGCGCGAGGTTCTGTAAGGAACAGGGTGAAGTTAGCAAGTGTCTCATATCAGTTTGTATGTGGATGTGACGTGCTCGGTTACTAAGGGAATTTTGTCGCGGGCGTTTTGATAGTTGTCTTCAGTAGTCGCAGTTGATTCTGAGGTGGTGACAGTGGGGACTGGGTCGGCGTCTGAGTAGAGGGGTATATAGGAATTGTCAACGCCGAGGGCGACGATGTGGGATGGCGACGTGGGCTGCCGAGGTGCAACGACGGCGGCAGCGATGGCGCTGAGGGCGAGCGACAAGATGATGAAGAGCTTCATGATGGGAAGAGAAGCGAGGGCTTTGAAGCAAGGTATACTATAATTGTTGCTGGGGGGTTGAACGCGAACGCAATGAGCATGGAAACAGAGTGAAAATCACTAGAATTTATATGGCGAGCATATACCAGACGCTCACGCGAGAAGTTTGCGTGAATACGGATAGAAGGAAGCACACGGACCTTGGACAAGCAAGCAGTCGTGGTTGTGGATTAGGTAGTATAATTGCGGGTACAACATGGAGGAAGAATTCCATTGGTGCCCATCAGATCCAGGCACACGCTGTTGCAGGGACAAAGCGTCCTGGGTCCACACGTGAACGTGATAGAGCCTAATCAACAAACGAAAAGAGGATTGGAATCCGGGTCTTACATCGGAGATATTACAAAGAGTATACATAATATTGTTGTGTACATGCAACAGCACTTAGGGTATAGTTTCAAAGAGAGTACAAGGGACCGCCAACGCCAGATGCGCAATGCAGACAATGCAAGTAGTGATCTAGCAACAGGACTGACATGCTGTAATAGGAAACGACGCTAAGAAAAGACATAAGGAAGTACTCATTAGCGTCTGCTGCTCCTAGTGTTGTTGCGGCTAGGCCTGTCGTCCCGGCGCGATCTTTGGGGTTGGTTGTCGTACCGTCCACCCATTTCTTCGTCGTGAACACGTCCTCCACCGTAGGAACGTTGAGGGTGGCGAACATCGTCATGGTCATCCTCAAAGGTGTTGCGTCGCTCATCAATCTCATCGTCAAAGTCGACGTAGACAGAAGCAGGGCGCGGGCGTCGTTCTCTGGGGAGCTTGGAATCTCTGTCTGCGAGCTCCTTGGGCTTGTAGAGCTTGTCGAGGTGCTCTTCAAGAAGGCGCACGTTCTTGCCGTTGGCCTTGACAGCTGCGTCGGCAAGATCGCCAATGAAGGGAACAAGGCCGATGAGGAAGTCAAAGGCGACGTTGAACAGCATCATGATAAGGACGCTGGCTGGCAGTCCGCCTTCCACTTTGCACATGTTGCGAACGAGGTTCAGGGCCAAGGCGGAACCTGCGGCGTCGCCCACGGCTGGGGCAAGGCCAATGACAGAAGACCAGCCAAATCGGATTCCCATAAAGGTAAAAAGAGCGTAGTCGAGCCTGTATGCGGACTTGCGGGCCTTGGCTAGGACAACGCAATCATTCTCGGGAATGTAGTTGGGAATGTCCTTCTTGACTTTCTTCATCTTGTGGGGCCTCTTTGGGTCTGGCTGCAATGCGTAGTAGGGGTCCTGGGGTACAATGAGTTTGCGCACGTCGACATGATAGAAGGTTCACTTACGTAGGGTCCAGATACGTCCTTGGACTTGTACTTTTCCATCTCCTTGCCCAACGCCTTCTTCATGGCGTACTTAGCGACCATGCCTGCCATGTTGGGTGGTGTTGCTGAGGTAGTTCGTGATGTAAGGGGAGTTGTATGAATACAGGTACATGAGACCGTCCAAGAGGCCTTATAAGTTCCTGTTGTTCGAACGGTGTCGCTTTACAGTGCGCGGTGGTGCGGCTGTCTCAAAGCGCGCGTGTTGTGTGGTTGGCCAACGGCGCTTCTCCTGGGAAAATGTGAAACGGGCGCGTCGCTGCCCTATGTATAGCTGGCGGGCGACTGGCAACGAACAAAGTATGATTGAGCTGTGAAGAGCAAGAAGGAGCGGCAGAGCGAAGACGACGGGCCTACTTATCGCATCGAGGTGCGCTGGCGGTGAGTCGCTGTAGCTGCCCAGGTCCAGGTGCCCTGATTCTGTGACGCGATCCCAGACAGGAACGTCATGGCCTGGGTCGGCCGCTCCTTCTTTCGCCTGCGCGCACAGCCACAGCCGCCACACTTGTGTCGATCGCTCCTGCCGACAGCCACAGCCCAACTCTCCGATAGGCCTTTGACAACACATCAACAACACGTCCACCCGCTCCCCCCACATTCTTCGCCATTCTTTGCGGCTGTGCAGCATCGCAGCAAACAAACCTTCCCTCACCTGGACCCTCTCGCTACTGCCCGCCGCCCGCGACGCGCGATAGCTGGCTGACTGGCGCCCGAGCGCTCCCCACCACTCTCTGCGACGCATGCTCAACGCGGCATGCTCGACACGGGCCAGACACACACCCACCATGACAAACACAAACAGATCACTAGTTGACTGGCTGGACGACCTCTGCGTGCGCTTCATCGTCAACCTGCCCAATGAAGAACTCCAGTCGGTGGAGCGAATATGCTTCCAGATCGAGGAAGCCCAGTGGTTCTACGAAGACTTCATCCGTCCGCTCGACCCCAACAACCTGCCCTCGATGCACCTGCGCAAGTTCTCCCAGCTCATGTTCCAGCACTGTCCGCTCTTCTCCGCCTACTCGGAGGAGCTGCACCAGCAGGCCTACGAGCAGTTCCTCGCCTACAAGACCCGCGTCCCGGTGCGCGGCGCCATCATGCTCAACGAGGACATGACACACGCCGTGCTGGTCAAGGGCTGGAAGAAGGGAGCCAAGTGGAGTTTCCCGCGCGGAAAGATCAACAAGGAAGAGACGGATCTCGACTGCGCCGTGCGCGAAGTCTGGGAGGAGACCGGCTACGATCTGCGCGAGGCTGATTTGGTCGAGCCCGACGAGCACATGAAGAAGATCACCGTCACGATGCGCGAACAGAGTATGATGCTGTACGTCTTCCGCGGCGTGCCCATGGACACATACTTCGAGCCACGGACCAGGAAGGAAATCTCCAAGATCGACTGGTACAAACTCACGGATCTGCCTACTCTGAGGCGCAAGAACCAGGTGCAGCAACAGCAGGGAAACGGAAATGACCTGATCAAGGAGAGCAACTTTTACATGGTCGCGCCATTCTTGGGACCTCTGAGGCAATGGATAAAGCAGCAGCACAGGCTTGGGAGGCAGAGGCAACGGAACAGCGCGCACGTTGCTCCGGCACCTGTGGCAGGGACTGATGACGAAGACATTCAGAACACACTCTACGAGACTACGGTCAATCAGGCAGCGCCCGTCGCCGACGCCCAGGTGGCCGACAACTTTGCGGAGATGGTGGCCCGGTTAGGTCGCGGACACCGCCCGAGCGACTCATTACCAGAGTTATCAAACGAGCATCAGGCACCGCAACAGAGTCAAGACCCAGCGGAGGCACTCAAGCGTCTCCTTAGTGTGGGCATGCAGTCACCGCCGGTGGAGGCCCCCAGCCAACCACCACCCCAAGGAAACCCACTCTTGGCTCTATTCAAGCAGGGCAACAACCAGCATGCAGGAAACCAACAACAACCTCGAACGCCCTTTGAGCAGATGATGCCCCCACCCATGCAGCCGTCAAGTCCCCATGGCCAGCATGGTCCACGACCACCGCAGATGGGCAACATGGGGCCTCCACCGCCCTTCTTCTCACCACACCAAGGTATGCCTTTCCGAGGGCATCCAGGTCACATGAACGGAATGCAACCACCACCGCCACACATGTCGCCTCATTTCATGCACCAACAACCACAGCCGCAGCAGCAGCAGTCCATGTTTCCACCTCAGCCTCCAAACATGCAGCAAGCGTTTGATCAGCACAATCTGCGGCCCCAATTCCAGGAAATGGGGGATTCACAGTTCGCAGGCGGAAATGGAAGACCAGCGATACCATCGGCGTCCAATTTGCCCGCACCAAATCTGAATGCACATGCACTCGGATTGCTGAATTCATTCAAAAACGAGAATCAGCAACCCACTTTCCCACCGTCGCCTCAGACCACAATCGCCGCTCCATTGCACCGAAGCTCGCAAACAACGCCCAGGATACAGCACCCGCTACCTCAACACAGGCCGCATGGTCTCGTATCGCCACAAGCACAATTCGCGCCCAGTCCGCCGCAGTTTCAGTCACCACCCATCAGCTCGAACTTCGAACCTGAACAGCCAAAGCCAAGAAACGCTCATCAAGATTCATTGCTGAATCTGTTCCGGCCTACCCCGCCACTGGCAAGCCCGGATCCCGCACCTGCAGAGCTGTCTGCGCTCCCCACAACACCAGGCTATGTGTCTGCGCAACCTGTCGCAGACTCGTCTAGACAGCCCAATGCTGCTCTTCTTGCCGTCTTCAATGCTCCGCCTAATAAGGCTAATATGACCTCCGCTACTGTGAGCGGGCCAGTGAACGCGCCAGACTTCGACACCATGAAGAAAAACAGGCAGCCGACGAACAGCAGTTCACGCGGACCCTCACCAGCCACGAACATGCCTTTCATGCCTCAGCAGATACTCAAACGTGCGCCGCAAGCTTCGCCTCAACCTGCACCACCGGCCGAGGTCTCTGGATCACCGCGAATTGCTTTCCAGCCCCAGATTCTGAAGAGACCTCAACAACAATCAAAAGCGCCAGCGCCAGCAGGTACGTTCATCTCCCCGTGCCCGCCTGTTTCTGGCAGAATGACGGGACCTGTAGATGAGACTAACAACTGTTTAGGTACAGGAGAGAAGACGACACCGCATGCACAAGGCTTGCTGGACATGTTCAAGGGGTCATCACCGAAGCCTCCGCCAACCCTACCAGCAGTACTGCCGTCTCGCTCGCCCGTCCCTCCACCCATCTCGGGCATGGACCGTCGCGAATCCGTCCCCTCGGAGCAGAAGAACGCATTACTCTCGCTCTTCGGCAACAAACCGTCACCATCTCCGAAACCCCAAATGCAGAGCCCAGTGCCACCGGCCCGATCTCCTCTCCCACCGACTCCGAAGAGGTCCATGTCCGGCCTCGTCAGCCCTGTCAGTCCACTACCAGCGAACGGCAGTGTGAGTGCAACCAGTCCAGAAGGAATGGCGAACAGAAGTCGCATCAGCAGCATCGGAGACGGAAAAGCGCCTAGTATCGTAATACCGCCAATTAGTCATCCAGTCGACGCAGGCATCAATCTAGAGCAGAACGATGGTGTCAGTCTAGCTGGGCTGGGTGCCGGTCAAGCCAGAGCGGGAAGCGCAAGCGGAGGCAAGAGTCCCGTTGATAAGAGTTTCTTGCTGGGCTTCTTGGAAGATGTGGCTAGACGTGGGCGCTAAAAGGTGTCATCTGTCCCATTATTGCATTGTTCTGGGCGTTTTTGCATTTCGAGGCGGATTATGAGTTATTCAGGGTTAGCTGACCGGACAGCAATTGGGATTATGCGTCAAGATCAATCGGGTTATGATCTATTGGGATGGCTTGGACATTATTTGCTTAGTAGAAGTATGTACGGTTAGCAAAACACAAGTACGAATCCTAAGGATGCTCTCAGAACTGTCGGAATAATGTCCGAACAGATCTATCCCTTATTCCCAGTCTCGTGGTCTCCATCAAATGCATCTGCCATCCGCACTGCTCTTCACAACCCCAACGCAACCGCCCAACCTTCCCGTCCGCGGCCTTGTCGTCCGCACAGTAGTAACAGCCCGCGGACTCCATTTCCGCTTTCCACGGCAATGATCTTATGAACCCCAGACACACCTGAAACGCGTCCCGCTTTGTCAACCTACCGACTGGATGTCATGCTATTCCATGCTAACGCCCTCCATGTCAGCACAAAGCGTCTCAGCTAGTCAAATACCCTCGGCATATCGGTAAACCGGTTATCTGATCGGCGTGACGTCCCTACCACTACCCTGGTCGTCGGCTTGGTAAATGCGAGATCGTGCCAAGTCGGAGGTTATGAGCTTATTTTTCGGGAGGTGGAGGTGGGAGTGAAAGGGCACGGGTGTCTTCTTGACCTGGTACAGTGATATGCGAGCCTGGTATGCTGTCAGCGTGCTATTTGTGACGATGGTGAGGATTTAGTTGGGATGGGCTACGTCACGCATACACGAATGCACTCGAGCACAGACACGGGAACGAAACATGGCAATGGGTTCTTCAGATGAAGAAGAAACCCGGAATTTGTTGGTTATTACTAAGTAGATGGCGAGAGGAAGATGACTCTACGGGATATTTCGATAGCTCAAGCTAAAAAGGCGGACAAAGTTGCAATGTACAAAAGGATAGACAGATGGGTGAATAGCGCAGAAGACCTTGGCTGGGAACAAAGTTGAGTGGAAACAAGAAGTCTGTTATAGTTGGATGGTTCCTGGTTTCCGGTGGTGAACTGCTTGTTTGTTTGTTTTCCATCCCGTTTTTGTCCCGAACCCCCAAGTCCCCATGATGCCGCGCTCGGAAATGCAAGAAAACATGCTGATGCTGGAGAAGTGACGACGCTGACGGGGTACTGGTAAGGAGATATGACTTGATTGTACAGGTTAGACACGAAGTGGTTGACAACAGTGGCTCAGTGGTGCTCATAGGGCGACATTATCCCGTCCCCTATCCAAGATCTCAGAAGGAACAGCGCTGCGTGTGCTGAAGCGCACTTCCGTGCCTGGGTGTGCCTTGAAGATTGGGGC